TGGCGCCATTAATTAAATGCCACGAATCCCTGTTAAAATATCTTTACAACTGCTAAATGGCGGGCAAACTTTTTGCCATAACCCCACTTTTATCCCACGGCGTTAATCAAAGGGAATTATATTTGCAGGAGCGAACTAAACTTGACTTGGCATTTTATTTATTGCTTAAATATTTCACCTTCTCATCCAGCCGCTGAGCAAATTGTTAAAGAACTCTCCGACGTACAGTGCGGCGTATACGCAATTTATCAACGCACAACAACGGCAATTAATTTGTGCGTTCGCCTTACCAGCGGCAACATCAACTTTTATAAATCAAACGTAACGAGCGTGTAAAACCTGACGGGCCCCCAGGTATATATGGTATATACTCACCGCCCCCTTAGAATTTTGGGGGTGGCTTTTCATTAGGTGGTGGCATTTTTACCGACCGCCCCCCAATAACAAAAACAACAAAAACAACGCCAGCGGTAACTTTTCAAATAAAACTCAATGGCAAAAATATTTACAATTGACTCTGAAACATTTTTACCATTTGGCAGGCGTGACTTTACCTTTGTTTCATTGTTTTTGTTATTCCACATTTTTCTCCCCAGTTGCCTTTTACACAATTTTATTTTTGTTTTCTTCCCAGGCCCACGCTGCGTATGAGTTATTTATTTTTGAATTATTGGCATTTGAAACTTTTGTTCGAGGGGCTGAACGTGCTTCTGGGATTTCTTATCTGTATTCGATTAGTAACTGAGCCGGGAGAATACCAGTGGATGATAAATGAAAGCGTATTTATGAGTATTTAAAATTTGACAGGCAGATTAATGGGTTACTGAAACGTTGGTAGCAATCTTTCTTAAGATTATTAAATTATTATAATTCGTTCTAATGTTTTACGTAAATTTGTACAATAATACCATTTAAAACTTAAATTTAAAATATCTGCTAATATTTTGAAATAGGTACTTACTAGATTTTAAGTTCAAGCTAGAAAATATTTACATAAATCCTTCTCTACTTTTATCTGTTTATTCTTAAATGCCACTTATTGATTTGTGTGCAAAATCACAACTATAATGCCTTAACTATTATCATGTTTACTCATATTTAAGCCCAATGCTTACACAATTTACAATATAAGCGGCTCAATTATCGTACTTCTCTCCTGTTCGCAACCAATCATCACGAATCACTTTACCATCTCTCATCCCAAAATCCTCTTTGCATCGTTTGTCAGCGCCAACTTCTGTCTATCCACTAAGAACCTGGCCAACAATAACATCAACAATGACAACTACAACAATAAGGGTCCTGACAACACCCACACAGACCGATGTTGAAAATCAAGGGAAACACGAAAACTTGCATAAGCGATGTTCCAACTCACCTGACAAACTCGAAAAGGCAGCTGCCGGTTGCAAGTTGCAACAATAACAACAGCTTGTTGCAGCAAAGGCAACAATAACAAAGGGGTCCAAACAATTTGCCACTGCACTGGGACATCAGCATCACCCGATCCCCCTATGCCCACGTAACCCTCCCAGCCAACGACCCCTATAAAATCCCCCCTCCCAAGAACCCACCCCCCTCAGAAGCGCTACATTTTGCGCTTTATGCACATTGTTTATGAATTCTCGCGCACAAAAACTTTGCCCATGGGAAGAAAAGAAGGTAACGAGGGGTAGTTGCACTTAAAAAAAAGAATATCCCTAAAATTATTTTTTTAAATTTAATTAAATAAGAAATCTTCAATTTTATTTATTACGATTTTCAAAAATGTTGTTCATTACAAGACTTTACGATTACTTATCGTTTTTATTTATGTTATTCAAAAATATTAAACAGACAATATTTTTTGGAATTTATTAAAAAATTATAAATTAAAAAAATATATATATTTTTAAAAATATATGATATCATTGCTATTTTATAATAATGTTTTATTATAGAAAATAAGATTAAATCGCAAAAAATTGAAATATCTCTAGTTTTTCTGAAAAAGTGGTATTTTGAAGTGGCAAACTTTTAAGCAAATCTAAGAAGTAGCCCCCACACTTTTTCGAGTGCATTGGCTGGCAGGCCAAAAGGCCCAAAGGGCTACGAGGCTCTTGCGCTGAATGGTTTTACGATTATTAACCCATAAAGTATTCATTGAAGTGAGTTTGAGTGGCCCAACTGGGTCTGCAATTTTTGGCTGCTCCACCGCCGCTCGCCACCTCCCTCTCCTTCGCCCACTCGCTCTCTGTCTCTTTTCTGCACGCAAAAGTGCAATAACAAACAGGAACCAACAGCAGTGGCAGCAACTACAAAAGGCGCCACAAGTTGGCAGCCCTTTGGCTCTGCCGTTTTCATACTTCATTCGCTTTGTGCATTTTCTCCACCCCCACCCTCTCGCTTATTTTACTTCTTCTTCTTGCCCCCAACCTTTCCAACGAGTTGTTGTTGGCTTCTTATTTTGCGCCGCGCTCTCTTCAGTCGAGTGCTTCTCATTGGTTTGCATGTTATCTGCTCCATCAGCAGCATCTCCTGAACAGTGCTGCCAACTTGGCTACTTTTCAGTCAAAACTGGAGCTTACATTTAATAAGGGTTATGTTATTCTTTAACCGATAACTCCGTTAGAAAAAAACCTAAACTTGTTTGGAAAAAAGGAATTGAAAGCTAAAGATTTACATTAAACTATGTTTATGGAGAACCTATTATTTTGAAATTAGTTCAGTCAGTAATTCGGGTTTAAAAACAGGTTACAAAATCCGTGTGTAGGGAAGCATTTTTGTGAAGACATTTGGAAATTCCGCATAAAAAACCATAACACTCCTAGCATTTATTGAGTTTATTATATGTAACTCCCTAAATCCCTAAATCAATTTAGTAAATGATATAAGCAATTTCAGTCCTTAAACTAAATCCTTAATATTTTTAAGGATTTTTGACCTGAAGCTAGCTATTTTTGTGAAACATAGCGAGCAACACTGTCTCTGAAGCGCTACTTTTGTTGTTTCGCTATTGCATTTTCAACTGGCCAACACTCATCTCTTACCCCATTGAAACCCCTTCAGAACCCCCTGCCACCAGCCAAACCCAACCATTTGTGAGTGCCTTAATTTATGCAGCCGACAAGAGTGAATATTAAAAGTTTTCAATGCGCCCAGTGTCTGTTGTACCTTTTGCTGCGGTCGCTTCTTCTTCTCTTGGGCTCCGTGATTCTGTGGTTCCGTTTATGTGGGCGGTTCTTCGGCCTGCTCTTCAGATGATTATGATTACATTATTATTTTTTGTATATACTATATTATTATGGCTTCCTTTTTTACTTGGGTGGTGCATTCTTAATGAACAGTACTGAAAATGAAGAAGAGCTAAGGGGGCTGGAGGAATTGAGTTCTTAGTTTAATTTCTTAGGTAAAAAGAAAAAATTAAATGCCCTGAATATGTTTATTATTATGTCAAATGCGAAGGAATATATTGTTTAATGCTGCGATCCAGGTGAATCATTTGTAAGATAATACAATTTTAGGCAAATTTTGCTATCCTTGAAATAAAGCCAAAACAGAGATAAATCCCATTGTAATTTACCTTAATATATATTTTTTATTTCCCTTTTTATATACCTCCCCATCTCTTGCTTTTTTATGGCCCTCCTAATCACGCTTACACTGCACAACCGAGCGTTAAAAAACTCATTCGATACACCTAAATTATGACCTCGGACCACCAGCTACCCTTATATCTGCCATCCCCTTTCCACCTCCCCGCTGTCCTAGGAAAACGCGCCCACAAATCTTCCATCTCTATACGTAAATAGAATTTATCAAATTTAATTTCACGCTTCATGCGCTCATTTCTATTTAAGTTTGAGTGTCGTGTCCTATCGAGAGGCCAAGGATCCGTAAAAAATAAAGAAGGAGCCCGAAAAGCGGAGGAAAAAAGGCCAATGAATGTCAAAAATTGTGACCGTAAATGACGGGCCTCAGCCATTGGGGCAATGAGCACTATAAATCTGGCAAGAGATAACCGGAAAAATGCTAACGACCAGAATGGCTAAAAATCTCTCACTATCGTAACAAAAAAAAAAAACCACCCAAAAATAGAAACCGGAAAAAAATATCAAAATGATGAGGGACACTTAAAGTTATGAAATTGTAAATTTCGGTTCGGTTTAGTTTGGCAGAGACAAGGAAAAGTACAAATATTTGGACTCGCACACATCCCATATCACTTGCCCTCGTCACAGGACTTGGGTTCTGAGTTTGAGTTTGGGTTTTTTTTGGGTTCCTGCATGGGGATTTTGCATAGAAAGTGGGGAACGGAGCATATACGCACACAAATTTCCATGTCAAGTGTTGTTCGAAAGTTGTTTTCAGCTTGACTTGGTTTCCTTACAGCTCAGAACCGCCTCCTCCATAAATGTAATCAAAAATGTATTCAAATTGTTTTTATGGTGGCCGTGTTTAAACTTTCCGACGTTTCGCACATAAATTTTTGATATATGTGTCATGCATGGTGATATGGTGTGGAAAATTACTTTGGATTTTAATGAGTTGTCTGCTGATTTCGGTTAAGATGTGGCTGTTGCTTCTGTTTGGTTATCGAGATGGTGCTTAAGCTTGGGCGTGAGAATTTCGTAAAATCTTTGTAGAAAATAAAAATCATTTTGAAACTCTGTAATGCAATTTTGTGACGACTAAATAAATATACTTTCTAAAATTTCCGTGAATAGGAAAACTTTAAACAGTGCATATATTTAGTTGAAGGCATTATTATATTTCCCTTTTATATATTGGATGTGCTACATATTTTTTAGATTTTAATAAGTTATTTTCCAACTTTGTGGTCCTTATCTGAAGATTCTTAAATGACCAATACAAATCAACTTTTAATAAGTTTAGTTTTTGGAACTGCCATAAACACTCGTATCTCGATAAGAAGCTTATAAAATCCACAAAAAAAAAAGGAAAAATTTGAATTGTGGAATTTTTATTTTCATAAACAATTGGCTGATTGCTAGCGTGACCTAGTGGGGTTGGGAGATGCAGACGTCGATGTGACTGTTGACCTCCTGGAGGCTGAGCATTGCCTGCGAGGATGCAGACTGGATGCATTGCCTATAGTCGTCGATCACAGCAGGGATACGCACGCTGATTGACTGGCGGATGGTCTCGATGGATTTTCGTCCATTGCTCATATAGAGGGCGAACTTTTTAGCAAGCCTGATTTGGCAGGTTACCTGGAGAACGCTGTTAGTGGTATTTTTGCACTTTTGGTAATGGGCAACCAGATCATAGCCTCCAAAGACCAATTGCTGCAGTGCGTCGCTTACGTCGGAGACGATTTCGGCGGATGTTTGGGCCGCAGCGTTACGGCAAGACTGCAGATCCCCCTCGGCGACATCCACAATACTGGCAATCTCCTGATCTTGGGCGGCTACGCACTCGGGACTCTCCTGGCGACTCAACTCCATCTGGTCGAGGGCATCCTCCAGCTCCTTCTGCGGCTCCTGGACGACCTTCACGTACTGCTGTTCCAGAGCTTCGCCGGTGGCCTTGGCAATCTCGGTCATCTCTTCCACCAGACTTTGCACCTGGGCTTCCAGATCGGCGGGAAGTTCCAGCGGCTGGGCCCATCCGCTGGCCACGAAAAGGGTCAGGATAATGACTACGGCGCTCTTCATGATTTTTTCTGCTGCTGCTGATTTGATACTGATGCTTTACCAAAATCAATTCGTATTTATACCTGGGCATCTAGATAGAGATTATTCGCTTATCTGGATTGCTGGCCATAAATTTGTGGTCAAAACCTTGGTATGATTAGTGAACTTTACATTACCTGATATTCAAAGAGTTCGCTCGTTTACAATTTGATTAAAACTGGCCAAGCTGCGCAATTAAACAAAGAACTAAGAGTTATTTCGGAATACATATATGACCTGATAAGCTTAAAAAAATAGTTATCATTATGTATGTATGTATTTATATTCGACCCTGGGGCAATTAAATCAATATTTTATATTTTCGGTTACATTTGTGAAATTTTAATAAAAATAAAGCTAAAAATCATTAGAAAATGTTTTAAGTTAGTCAAAGGGGTTATTTTTTTTTTATTAATATTAATTGTAATTGATATTACCCACAGTTCCATTTTAAATTCATTTTTAAGACTCTTGGTTTAACTTAAAGTTACGAGAATTAAAAGTCCCTTACGCGTTCCATAATTAAATGTACTTTCAACCAGACAATTAACAGATTAAACCCTAAACTAAATCCTCATACCGCACTAAGTACTTCCTGTACCTTTGAAGCCCCAAACGGAACCATTATCCCCGAAGAGCAAAACACCTACGTCATAAACATTTCCTAATCAGCCCGCAAAAGTTGACCCTTCACATGCATATAAAAGTGGGCGAAAGAGGAAGGCTCGAGCTTTTGCCCCGGTCTTGGCCTCTTTGGGAACTACAAATTTTCCAAGAGTTTGCACTAAAAAGCAATTAAAATTTTACACGACCATTTGCGCAAGACAATTATGAGGAACCACATGGCCAGCCATTCCCCCTGTAAACCCACCAAGGAGCCCAAGCCCATCATCCAAGACCCCAACTAGAACAAGTCTAGAACGTCAACATTATGCCAAGACAATAAAACGACAGCGAGCGCCGCCAGGGAAAGCGAGAGATTTGTTGGCCAAATGCCACACACTCCACCGAGAAGATGGGAAATAATGGCTGGGTGGGAAAAACCGGGATGAAGTCGCAGGAGATGCCAAAGGATCCGAACGACCGACCGACCGCCCGTTGCTTAACTGGCAGCCATACCTACGAGGCATAACACCCAACAATTTCCACACATTTACGACACTGGCCCAAGGTAAGGGAACAAATATTTTTAAGCGCCCAGCGACCGGCCGAAAAGGAAAAAAAATGTGGCCAAGAAAAAGCGACCACTGCAAATTGAATTGTAACCAAAGTCGAGTCACCGGACAGCATAGGGAAAAAAGCGGTGGATTAAAGCTCGAGGGGTCCACGTTATGGCTAACCAAGGGCTGGCCAAAAGGCACTGAGAAAAAAATCTTAACTAGCCGTGGCATTACTTTTTAAAATAGGTTTAAAAAATTCTTATTTAATTCCATTTAATTCATATGAAATTTATAATAATTTTAAGAAATAGAAAATGTTTTTTAGAACTTGAACTGAAGAAGTTTAAAGTATTTGGGAGTGCTACAGGAAAACATTTTCAAAGCGTTTTAAAAGGGCCTAGAACTATGCAACACTATTTTTTCAATAGGAAAATCCATAAGTTTTATATTATTGTAGTTTTAGAAACCACAAAAGTTTTTAATCTTCTTTAGAATTATATTTTTAATCGGGAAAAGCGATAATTAAATAAAAAAGCCCACAAAACTTTTAAACGTGATTTAAAAACCTTAGAACCTTTTATTTTTCCACCTGATTTTCTTCGAGTGCCGTGTGTTTTGGTTGCAAGCCCATTAGTTGGCACCAAGTTATGACTCTATTAAAAAAGCAACGCCTTGCTGCACTTGCCACCGTCGCGGAAGTTTGGACACACAGTCCTGATTCAACAAAAAATAGGCGTGGCTAGGGCGTTCTGGACCCTCCCGGGATGTCGCTCGCTGCCATTTGTTTTTGGCCATAGTCGCGGACTTCAATAAACATTGGCAATATGGCAATTGTATGCGCAGCTGGGGCTTTGATTACAACCACTCATAATTGCTGCAGATTGGAGATTGGAGAGCCCCGAGGCCCAAATGGAAATTCAGCAAATGTTTTAATTGCAGTCTGCCAAGGGAGCTGATTGAATTTGCATTTCAGTTTGGTTTTGAGCTTCATAAATTGTAGTTGTCGTCGTCGTCTGCTGAAGATGCCAACCGCATGCCACTAGCTTCCATGATTCCATGAGCATTGAAGAACATTTACCACAAGCCAATAATCTAATTTTCGACCATGCTAAAAGCCTACTATCCCTAACCCTAAGCTTAAATTGTTTTTTCGGGGCAATAAAAGTATACCTGAACCGCACATATGTCCCCACTCCCCCCACCGAACTGGGAATAAGAAACTCAATGCAAAAGCCGAATAAAATGCCAGAAAATGGGGGGAAAACTTGCGGTTGTGGATGTTGCACGCCTGATGCAATTTACGGCGCTTTGTTAAACGCTTCAACATGAAACCGAATGCCCAGGAACCAGGAACTTCCCTCGTCCTTGGATAAAAACAAGGGCAGGGAAGGACTGGCCGGAGTAAAGGATATACAAGTTAAAGGCAACATCCGTTCTGGGCCAAGCTGGCTGTGGCCATAAACAAACTCAACGCTCCGCACTGACCGTTCACTGGCAGCTATAAAACAATTTCGCATATGGCTCCCCGAGCCCAGCACTCTTTGTTTTTTCCTCCTCTTGATAATGCGCTGAGAAAAAATGTAACAATTGTATTAAGAGTATGGTTTTTTTAATTCTGAGGAAAGCGAAACAGATAAATACGGATAAGAAACTGTTCCACTGCCAATAATAACCATTTAAGTTTAATATAAAGTGACAGATTTACAGGACCGATATTGTTAATCTGATTACTAAGTAACTTCGTGAAGGTTGCACCAGCTTTAAGAAGGTTTGTCTGAGTTAATCTAGAATTTTATAAACAAAATTTTCAGCATGCGGATAAAAAATACTATCCTATTCCAATTTTTTGGTTAAAAACCGTCGATAACAGAAACCTTCTAGTATAGAGCGTATATTTTATGTTTGTATAAATTTCTTATAATTTATAGTTTCTTCGGAAGATATCGATATATGCATAAATAAATCTTTTCTCAAACCTCAATTTTCCAGTGACCCTAAATGGTTTCGTTGGAATATTATTACATTGTAATTTTCTGAAAAACCATTTCCAATTAATCAATTAAATGTCCTTAAATTAATATTTTTAAAAATATAAAATACCAGGCAAGCTAACCTTTTAAAATAATAATCGTAAATAGTTCTATTATTTTTTTTATGACTTATTTCTCCTTTAAGTTTTAAAATCAAGATAGTCTTGTAGTACGTATTCTTTAACCTTTTCAACCCAACTTTTTTCTGCAAGTGTATTTGGGCCAAGTAGGAGTCCTGGCCGGAGCTTGTGGTTGTGACCAGGACCCCCGATTGCCCCTCGTCCGCTCCTGGCATGCACTAACACCTGGTAAGCCCCTTTGTTGTGCTCCGGTGGCTCCGATGGCCGAGTGTTGGTTACTTTTTTTTGTTTGCAAGGGGCTTCCTTTTGCAGCCGGAATTTCTGTGGCTCTTGCCAGGCAGCTTGTTTTTCTTCCAATATTTTCTCGCATTTTTTAGCTGCTACTCTGTACTCTGCCCTAGCCCCGATATTCAACACTTTTGGCTTCTGGCAAATATTATGCTAAGCTAAGGAATAGTTTGGAACCCGAAAAATTGTTGCATTCTGTGGGTTTTTGGGGTTTTGCGGCCATTCGAGCCCACCAATTGTGGCTAGCTAAAGGGGGCGGTGAGTGGGAGTTGCAAAAGTTTTTCTAATTAAAAACACAATAAAGCTTTCGGCCCGCCGTCTTGGCCATTGTGAAAAGTGAAAAGCGGCAGGCGCTAAAACCGCGACTCCTACAACCTGCCCCTCTTTTCCAGTCTTTCCCACACAATGGCCATTATGACATCGTTATGTGGCATCAACTTTGTGCCTCATTAAAAAGGTGAGGTGGCTCAAAGGCTGCTTAATGCGTCCTCCCTTTACTGTTCTTGTTGTTAAAGTTATCTGGTCTTAATTAAAGCCCCGGATTAGATATGGCCAAGTCATAATGGAAACGGAAAAAGCCAACGAGCTTTGCCTTTTGCTCCTGCTTTAATTTCCATTTCTATTTTGCTCTAGAAAGGCTGCAAGGGCTTTCCTCGCAGGACCTCGAATCGAGTGGTCAATCCGCTTAAGCCAACGAGGGTTTTTTTGTCGACCTAAGTTTCCCCATTAAGCTTGAACTTAATGCCCGGTCAATGCCAATATCGATTTAATAATTTCTTTCGCTCGTGGGTTAATTGATTTTACCAAACCTAAAGTAGTAGAAATTTACCAAACATTTTCAATCGTATTTCAGAACTTGACTGCTTTTAAATTGTCTGATTTCCTATTTATCACAAACAATCAAAATTTAAATTAAAATACATAGTATTCATTTTAATTTTAAATACTTCTCCTTAATTTATATTTAAACCCCTTTCCGCCCTTTATTAAACGCTTTCATCTTATTGATTTTGCGGCACCTTTTCAAGGTCTTTCCTGCACCAAGAACCATATATCACAAGTCAATTTCCTGAGCACATAAATCACCGGGGATAGTGCAAATTTGGTCTGTGGACCGCACCACATAGCATATACCATTTGTCTGGACCTCGTATCCCGTGTATCCCTGCATCCGCATATCTTGCATTCGCCTGACAATTATAAATTGTAACCTTGCGCTGCTCCCTGTGACATAATCGCGTTCGAATCCAATTTGGCCACGTGTAAGTGCAAGGGCAGGGGCGATTAATATTTTGTCTGGCGATGATGAATGGTCCACAGCAACTGCAGTGCGCCACTGATTGAGTTATTGGCAGCAGAAGTAGGTGGAGGAGGAGTATGTTGCCCTGGACCCTCGATGCAAATACGATAGCAACACCTACTAC